AAAAAAAAGGGTTGAGAAGTTAGAAGGTTGACATGTTGTGGGGTTGTTAACCAATGTCATAGAACAATATGCGTACTACTGTTTCATGAGAAACTATTTGTTCTGTAAGCCTTCACCTGAAGTATAAAAAAAGTAAAAAATAAAAAAAACAAAATATCAGTAAAAACAAAATCTACAAAAGCAAAGGAAATGAAAAAAAAATTCCACAAACAAAAGAAATTCAGCACAGGAGAGTAAGAGCAACAAAGAAAACATTAACACCATAAAAAAGCACTATAAAATGACAAAAATAAACTCACACCTATGAATAATAACACTGAATGTAAATGGTATAAACACACCCATAAAGAGATGAACAGTGACAGAATATATTAAAAAACAGAATCCATCAATATGCTGTCTACAAGAGACACACCTCAGAAACAAAGATGTAAGTTTATTAAACATCAAAGGATGGAAAAAAATGTATCAAGCAAACAGCTACCAAAAACGAGGAGTGCCTATATTAATCTCAGATAAAATACTTTAATACAAATTTTCTTTAAAAGATAAAGATAGACACTATATAATGATTAAAGAAACAATCCATCCTAAAGACATAACCATAATAAAAACATCTACGTACCCAATGACAGGGCTCCTAAATACATAAAACAAACTCTAACAACACTGATGAGAGAAACTGACAGTTCCGCAATAATAGTAGGAGACTTCAACACTCCACTCTCGGTAAAGGACAGCGCATCTAGAAAGAAATTTGACAATGATACAGAAGACCTAAAGGGCACAATGAGCCATCCTGACCTCACAGACATATACAACACTACACCCAACAGATACAAATTACACATTCTTTTCCAATACACATGGAACGTTCTCCAGGATAGACCACATCCTAGGCCAACAAGCAATCCTCAACAAGATCAAAAACTTTGAGATGTTACAAAGTATCTTCTCTGACTACCACACCATCAAAGTAAAAATTAACAACAGGAAGAGCAAGGAAAAAAAATCAATTACATGGAAACTGAATAACACCCTGCTTATAAACCACTGGATAAAAGAAAAAATCAGATATGGCATAAAAAAAATTTCTAGACTCAAATGAGAATGAAAACATGTTATATGAAATCCTCTGGGACACAGTAAAGGCAGTCCTCAGAGAACAATTTATAACAACAGAATCACACATCAAAAACGAAGGGACAAGACCAAAACATTAACTACATGACTTGAACAAATAAAAAGAGAACAGCAAAAAAAAAAAAAACAAAAAAACCCAAAGACACTGGAAGAAAGAAAATAATAAAGAACACCGAAATAAATGAAATACATTTATAAATAAAATCAACAAACCCAAAAGTTGGTTCTTTGAAGGGATCAACAAAATCGACAAACCACTGCCAGAATGACAAAAGAAAAACAGGAAAGAACGCAAAAAAAAAAAACAAATAAGACACGAAATGGGGAGCGTTACAACAGACCCAATTGAAATAAAATGGATCATAACAGAGTACTATAAAAAAATATACTCAAATTTGAAAACCTAGAGAAAATGGATAAATTTCTAAAAACACGCTACCTACCCAAACTAACACAAAGTGATGCTGAAAATCTGAACAGACCCATAACAAGAGAAAAGATTAAAAAGGTAATAAAAAAAAAAACTCCCAACAAAAAACCCTGCCCCAGATGGCTTCACTGGAGGAGTCTGCCAAACATTAAGAAAAAAGCTTACAACAGTACTATTCAAATTATTTCAAAACACAGAAAAGGAAATGACACCTCCAAATTCATTCTATGAAGCCAGCATAACCCTGTTACCAAAACCAGGCAAAGATACCACAAAAATGAAAATTACAGACCAATATCTCTCATGAATATAGATGCAAAAATTCTCAACAAAATTCTAGACAGTAAAATTCAGCATCATATCAAAAAAATAATA